TATAGAGTTCTGCCTCTTATACTGAACATACTTCAAATAATGCATGTGTATTCCAATCCCTCATTTTACTTGGAATGAATTGTATATGAGAATTATGCAATCATCAAAATCATTTCACAGAGAAAGACTTTTAGGATTGTTTGAGAGCAAAATGCTGCCTTGTTCTAGAAGATGTTGGTTAGCTAGGCATAATGGTACATATCTTTAATCTCAGTACTCAGGATGCAGATGGAGGAGGATTACTGTAAATTTGCAGCCAACCTGAGCTACACAGTAAATTCCAGGACTGCCAGGACTACATAGAGAGAGAACCTGTTTCAAAACAACAGCAGCATCAGCAACAACAAAACAAACAAACAAAGAAAGAGGATGCACATGATGTGTATGCCTATAACCCCATCATTTGGGAGGCTTAGGCAGGAAGGTCCAAGTTCAAGGCCAAACTTGGTATCAGACTAAAAAAATCAGAGAGATGAAAATATATGTTATTTTTAATGTGTTTAGAATCTCCTGAAGTTGATTTTAAAATCATGCTGTGGGGTCTGGTGGGGTCTAGATACTAGACCAGCTTCACTGAATACACTAGTTTCCTGTTTCTGTTAGGGGTGATGTGGCCTTCTGAAGGAATGTTGTGAAAACATCTTTCATGAAGCTTAATGCTGTACATACAGTAAGTACAAAATTAATAATGGAAATTTAACAATTTGTGGGACTTTTTATTGTAGAGAGAGAGAGATAAAATATTTACCAATGTAGACATTTGTGTGCATGTGTTACAAAGGCATGGAAACACAAGCACAAGATTTAACAATCAGCATTCTATGTACTCAGAATGTTACCAACTAAGTGTGATGTAATCTCAGTACCTGGAAGGCATAGGCAGGTCTGAGTTTTGTGCCAGCCTAGGTGTGTTCCTGAGGACTTAAAGTGGTCTAATACCAGAGAGAGGAATGTAAGAGAGATAAGAGGTTGTAGTGACATTTGGCTCTGAGCAATTAGCAAGTGGTAAGGTGAAAGAATCTAATAAGACAACGAATGAGGCCACAAATTGTGGTTTCGAGTTTGACCCAGGAGGGACATACAACCAGCATTCTCCAAAGAGGTTAGGCTGAGTGTTATTCAATAGCCAATATGCAGAAGTTAAGGTCCGAAATGAGATGGTGTGACAGAAAGGTGGGATCAATATCATCAAAAAGGGTGACATTAAGGGTGTAAGCACTTTTGAGTAGTTTTGGACCACTTCTTCTCCTGTATCTACACCTAGGGGTCTAGAGAATGGTATGTGCACCCTCTGTGTTTTGAGCATGCCCAATGGGCGGCTGTGATAAAGGCAAAAGTAAAGCTTACCAATGATTCCCATTTCTCATCTGGAGTGCCATGGGTCCTTAATTAGGACATAAAAGATTCTCCATTCTTAATAAAAAGCAGAGTGTTTTCCTGACTATGCATTATGTCTCTTAAAGGAACAATAAGGACAGCCTCCATAGGTTTCTGCCCTGCATCAACAGTAATCTCTGGTTTGATCAGAGAGAAAGCAAGCATAGGGGACATGTGTCTTAGAAATTGATTTTGATAGTATAGGGATAAGTACCCTTTTTGGCAACCTGCTGCCAAAGAAACACACTCTGCTCCTGACCAACTCAGCACAAAAACCAACCAATCACTGAGCATGAAATCTAGCCAATCTCTGAGCTTGTTCAAGCTCAGGGATTGAAGTCTGATCAATTCCTACCCTGAAAAATCTTCACCATGGAAAAACTCTGCCCCTAAGGAACCCTATATAAGTCCTGTACCTGTTCAGGTGGGAGCTGCCTTTTCCTCTTTGGAGAAGCAGCTACTCTCCCGGATTCCTCCCTTGAAATAAATCTCAAGTGAGTTTTGGGTGAAGACCTTCTTTCTCTGGATTGGAGCAGGGCAGAGAAGTAACAACTTTCACTGGAGCAGGAGCAAACTGCTACATTTCTGCACATGGTGAGGGAGAGAACCACTTAGGAGAGAGCAGCAGAGAAGCAACAAATTTCACCAGAGCAGGAGCAGAATTGCTGCATCTCTGCAGGGAAACCCCCTTAGCAGAGTACAGCAGAGAAGCAGTGAACATCTCTGCAGGGAAACCCCCTTAGCAGAGTACAGCAGAGAAGCAGTGAACATCTCTGCAGGGAAACCCCCTTAGCAGAGTACAGCAGAGAAGCAGTGAACATCTCTGCAGGGAAACCCCCTTAGCAGAGTGGGACAGAGCTGGGTTGTAAGAGCTCTCTTGGAGAGGAGCAAGATTACTGCATTTCTGTGGGGAAACCATCCCCCACCAGAACAGAGCTATAGGTATAGCCTGGCTTCTGACAGCCAGGATACCTTTCCCTCCAGAGCTGTAACACTTATAATAACCACTGATAGAAATTCTAGACTCATTATAAGTTCCCTTTATCCCTACACTCAACTCCTGATAATCACAATCTCACTGCTTGGATTAACTCATATGCATGAAATCATGCAAATTCATTCTGTGACTGCCTTAATTCATTTAGCATGCTGTTTGTCAGTCCACGCATACTGTAAATTCTTTAATTTTGTGCCTGAAAACATCCTTCTGTGCATATAACACCTGAAATGCATTCATTCATTTATTGATGGTCATAAGCTGTTTTCAACTTTCATCTCTGATGAATTATGCTGTAGAGTACAAGTATCTATTTGAGCCCCCCCCCCCATTAAATTAAAAACAGGCAAAAGATCAGTAAGACCCAAAATGTCCAAACAAAGGAAAACAAAAAAGTCCACAAAAATACCACTGAGTTTGTTTTGTGCTGGCCAATTACTCCTGGGCATGGGCCTGCCCTGGAGTGTCATTGATACACCCAGTGACACTCCACTGGAGAACACTTATTTTCCCTTTGTCTCAATTACAAACAGCTTCTCTGTGAAGGGTGGAATACTGTGTCCCCTTCCCCTTCTCAGTGCTGGGACTCTAGTTTAAACCTGTGCAAGTCTTGTGTGCGCTGTCACAGTCTCTGTGGGTTCATATACACACCAGGCCTGTTGTGTCTGGAAGACACTGTTTCCTTGGAGTCATCCAATTATTTTTCTTTTAATTTCTCCACTTTTTCTTCAAGTTGAAATAGTCTGTCCTCCCTGTGTTTTTTATTGATGAGGCTTTTCACAGATTTTATATTTTTAATGTCCACTATTTCAGTTAGTGTCTTTTCGATATTTCTATGCCCTTATTAAATGTATTTTTACATATGAATGTGTCACTCCTATTTCAATTAGTTAACATCTCTTTGGAATTATTTTTTCAAGAATATTTTTTGAGTTATTTGAACATACTTAAAGTTTTTAATTATTTACTTTCACTAGATGTCATTATTGTAAAATTCTTAATTTTTAGAGGAGTTTGTCTTTTCATAGAAATTGTGCTTTTATATTGCATCTTACAATCTGGACTTAAGGTCACTGGTTGAATTTTTTCTTCCTTATGTCAACTCCCTTATTCTGAGTCCCCAGGCATTATGTTGTTTCCATGCAGGTAACAGGACTCAAGCACCATGTTCATGCTATATTCACCATGACTGGACACACAATCTAAGCACCAAATTGGTTTGGTCTGGACACCTCCAGGTGTACTATGCTCATCACGGTGAGTAAAGCCAGTGTATTCTGGGAATAGTGTGCTCAATGAAGTGACGCGCAGGGCTAGGGTTTTCTAGACATAAAGCCCCTGCCTAAGAAATGAACCAAGGAATAGATCCTCCTGAGCATCCTATGCGTACCAGAATCACAGACTGATATGTAGTCTCCCGGGTGTGAACAGTGCTCAAGGAGGTGACATGTGGGTCTCAAGTCTCCTGGGCATACAGCCCTCACCTGCATGATGGATGCCTTTGGAGGCTTCTGGGTATAACATACTAACTGGATGGAGCCTTGAGGCATCCTGTGCTTATTATTGAGGTGATGAGATGGGCAAGAGCCACTCAGTAATACTTTGGTCACAAGGCAACAGGTGAGGCTGGAGCTGCTTAGATGAGTTGTGTACGCTGGGGCAGTTGACAGAATGGATCTCACCAAGCGCCTTTTACTTGCCTGGGCTGGAATCTCCCACACATATGGCCCTCAAAGGGGCCACGGGATAGGATGGGACTGTTGGGTATGCTGTGATTACTGGGATAATGTGAAGTTGGAGATTCTCACAACATAGCCCTCACCTGGGTGATAAGAGGGGTTGAAGTATCCCAGGTATAATGTGCTCACAGGGCCTGGAGCTTCCTGGGTATGCATCCTTTATGTGGGCAATGAACAAGCTTGAGTCTCCAAGATGTGCGGCCCCAACCATGTATATGCTCAGCAAACTGACAGGTAGGGATGGAGACTCCCAGGCACAATGTGCTCCACAGGGAAAACCGAAGGAGCTGGGGCATTCTAATCATGCTGTGTTCACCAAGGTAGTGAGACTAAAGCCTCCAGGGCATACAGCCCTTCTGGGAAATGGGTGGAGCTGGTGACTCCCAGCTACATTGTGCTCACTTTACATTCAAGTTTCTTACCAGAATGTGTTCTCTGAGGTCAAGTAAACATTGGGCTCTTACAGTAAGATTTCTTGTTTCTCATCCATGAACCCTCTGATGCTTAGTAAAATTTGAATTTTGGTAGAAAGATTTCCACATTCTTTACTCTAAAATGATTTCTCACTTGTGTGAATTCTAGATGTCATAAGGTTTGACTTACATGAGAAAGTTTTCCAACATGCTTTTTAAAATTATTTATGTATGCAAATATTTTGCCTGCATACATGTATGTGCACTACATGAGTGCATTGCCCATGGAAGCCTTTGGAATTGGATTAACAGACAGCTGTGAGCCATTTTGGAGCAGTAAATCCAAACTAGATCCTCTGGAACAGTAGTCAATGCTCTTAACAGCTGTGCCAACTCTACAACGCAACTCCTACATGTTTAAACATTCATAGGGTGTGTTATTTACCTGTGGCTTTTATAAAATATCCTGACACAGCAAATTAAGGAAGAGTTTATTTTAGCTCATGGTTCAAAAGTAGAATCCATCCAGACAGGGAGGTTACAGTGGTAGGAGCTTGAAGCATCTGGTCCAGTGGCATCCACGGTCAAGAATCAGAAAACAATGAATGCTCATTCTTAGCCATCTTTCACCTTTTCATGCAATCTAGACCCCAGTCCATAGAATGGTGCTACAAGCATTTAAAGTAACTCGTCCCATGGCAATTAACTTAAGATAATCTCTCCCAGACATTCCCAGAGTGATTCCTGATCTTGCCAAGCTGAGAATATTAGTCATCAAAACTCTATTCCTTGCAAACCTGACATGGCTATCACTGCTGAGCAATAACTTTCCTCTCTTGTCCCCATAAGCTGATGGCCATTTCAGAATGCAGTGTGTTAGGTACAACACCAAAAGTCCCTAGTCTTCAACAGTTCCAATGCTGTTTTAATATCCAAAGTCCAAGTTTCATCTGAAACAATCTTTTATTTGTGAGGTCCCTTAATACCCAAAAGGAAGTTACATGGTACCAATACGTAAAAGCAAAGCGTAAACATTCCTATTCCTGAAAAGAAAAATGAGGGCTGAAACCCAGCAGAGAAAACAGTAAATCTTGCTGCTCCATGTCCAGCATCTGAGACTTGTAATATAGTCATCTGGAATCCAAAGTACTTGAGACCTTCCATCTCTGCTGCCTGTGGCTTTCTTTAAGGCTGGCCCCACCCCTTGCCTGTAGCTTTCTTTGGTGGATGCCCCCATGGTCCTGGTATCACTTATATACTGGAGTCTCCATGGCAACTTAGAGTTCACCTTCATAGGTTCATGCAGTGGCCAATCAGAGCCTCCGTGTAGAAACTCCAGTCCTGATCTAGAATGCCTAGCCACAACTGCCATCTGAAACTCTGGAGCAAGTCTATCTGACCCCTTCAATATTCCACCTTTCATGCTTAGGAAACTAGTATTACATACACAAAACTTCCAAGAGCTGTTGCTCATTAGACATGTAAGGTGCCCTCTTGGATCACAGTTATGTCACCTAGAGTGTGTTGACCCTACAGAAACACTTCTTCGGGGGGGGGGGGGGGGGGGGGGGGAGTTGTCTTCAAAGAGTAGGGAACCCCTGCAGCTGCATTCTCAGTCCTGGCTTTTTACTTTCAAATAAGTCTGCATTGTCACGAGCTGAAACCTTTGGTAGGTGCAGCAGGGCATTCACACACATTCCCTATTGCCCTGGGGCAAAGCAGGTTCTTTTAAGAAAGCCTCTTTTTTTCATACATGCCTTGCCTACAGATGTTGCTTTGCTGTGGCTTTCTTAATCCATGAGATGCTGCAAGTTTTGATCGCTTTTGCACTTATCAACTGCTCAAAGCAAGTTTTTTTCACTGTGAACTTTACAAGTGCTGTTACCAGAAGCCGTGTCAGTCAAAATACACTCCCACTGGGAAATTTTCTTCACCTGATAGATCGGCACATTTTCTTTAAGTTCACCATTACTCGAGTTCTCAGAACACAGGGAGAATGAAGCCAGATTCTTGGCAAAGAATCACACCAATGGTCTCCAGCCCACTTCCTGACAGTTCTTATTCCCCTCTGAAGCCTTATGAGCCAGGCCTCCACAGCCTGTACTTCCCTCTGCCTCCTGATCTTATAAACTTCCACCAGAATGGCCTATTTAGCTCTGTAGCATAGCATTTAAAGGTTATATTAGCCCAAAGTCCCAAAATCTTCTACATTCCTCATGAAAACCATTTCCAATGGCCCATGAACCATATAGCCGAATTTATCAGAGCAACCTCACTTCTCGGAACCCATTTCCTAGAATAGTTACTTTTTGCTGTGGCTCACAGTTTGAAGGTACAAGCCCTTATGGCAGAGGAGTCACTGTGGCAGGAGCTTAAGGCAGCTAGTTGGGTAGTAGCCAGATAGGAAGCAGAAAACAACAAATGGTCATGCTTAATCAACCTTTCTCCTTTTCATGTAGTCCAGAACCCCAGTCTACAGAATGGTGCTACCCCTTTCCATAAAGTACATAACGTCAGGTCACCATATTTACGGTGGGTCTTCCTGCTTCAATTAACCACATCAAGATAATCAGACATACCCAGAGGCTAACTTAAACTAGATAATCTTTCACAGGCATGCCTAGAGGCCTGTCTCCCAGATGATTCCAGATCTCGTCAAGTTGACAATCGATATTAAACATCACATAGGGTTTCTCATCTGTATGACTTCTTTGATGTTCTGTGAGCTCTGACTTAGAACAGAATGTTTCCCTACACTCTTTACATTCATAAGGTTTTCCACGTGTATGGGTTCTCCGATGTTGATTGAGGTTTGACTTACAATAGAAAGTTTTGCTACAATCTTTACATTCATAGGGCTTTTCACCTGTATGTGTTCTCTGATGTCGAGTGAGATCTGACTTTTGGAAGAAAGTTTTCCTACATTCTTCACATTCATATGGCTTCTCACCTGAATGAATTTTTTGATGTTTAACAAGGCTTGACTTGCAATAGAAAGCTTTACTACAGTCTTTACATGCAAAAGGTTTTTCACCTGTATGAGTTCTTTGATGTTGATTGAGGTTTGACTTACAATAAAAAGCTTTGTTACAGTCTTTACATTCATACGGTTTCTCTCCTGTGTGAGTTCTTTGATGTTGATTGAGGTTTGACTTACAGTAGAAATTTTTCCTACACTCTTTACATTCATAGTATCTCTCCACTGTATGAGTCCTCTGATGATTAATGAGTTCTGACCTACAGTAGAAGGATTTCCAACATTCATTACATTCATAGGGCTTCTCTCTAGTATGAGTTCTTCTCTGATGCTCAGTGAGGTTTGACTTAGAATTGAAACTTTTCTTACATTCATTGCATTCATAGGGCTTCTCACCAGTATGAATCCTATGATGTTGATTGAGGCTTGACTTGGAGCAGAAAGTTTTCCTACATTCTTTACATTCATAGGGATTATCATCTGTATGAGTTTTCTGATGATTAGCGAGGTCTGACTTATAGTAGAATGTTTTAGAGCATTCATTACATTCAAAAGGCTTTTCCCCACTATGAGTTGTTTGATGTCGAGTAAGATCTGACCTACAGTAGAAAGTTTTAGTACATTCTGTACATTCATAGGGCTTCTCTCTACTATGAGTTCTACTCTGATGTCGAATAAGGTATGACTTACAGTAGAAAGTTTTACTACATTCTACACATTCGTAGGGTTTCTCTCTACTATGAGTTCTTCTATGATGTCGAGTTACGTCTGACTTACAGTAGAAAGTTTTCCCACATTCTATACACTCATTGGGCTTCTCTCTGCTATGTGTTCTTCTCTGATGTCGAATAAGGTTTGCCTTCCGGTGGAAAGACTTCCTGCATTCTTCACACTCATAACGTCTCTCACCTGCATGAAATGTCTCCTGTACACTGACTTGGGGCTTCCAGGGGAAAATTTCCCAGCATTGCGGAGACTCATAGAGTTTCTCACCTATATGAAATCTTTGATGTTGAGTGAGGGTGGACTGATAATAGAAGAATTTTCTACATTCCTCCCATCCAAAGGGGTTCTCATGAGACTGAGATGTCTGATTCATGGTGTGCTGTGAATTCTGATCAAATGTTTCCATACATTCGTTATATATATACGGTTTTGCCCCTTGATGCATTTTCTCTTGAATCTGTAGTTCTGCCTTGAGACAGAAAAATCTGTTACATTCTTATAAACCATGAGACTATTCACCAATATCTGTTTCCCAATATTTCTGAGGTCTGATTTCTTAATGAAAAAATTTCTCACAATCATTACATTTGGAGTGCTGCTCTTTGTGTATTTCATATTCTTTACTGAGTTTAGTCTTGCTACCAAATATTATCCAATACACATTACTCAAAACTTTTCTTTCTTACCTAAGAAATGTCTTGGGCAGGAAATGTGACATTATCCAAAGGGCAATATTCACCAAACTTTAATTACAGGTCTCCCACATATGAGATTTCTTATGTATCAAAAAAATTATCATTTAATAGAAGAGTTTCAATGGCTCCAAATAGTATGTATATACTGCAAAGTTTGGTTCTAACAGCAGAGACTAAGAAGCTCCATGAGTCTCAGTTATATTAAAATTATCAGGTCCTTTTCCAGCCTCCATCTTATCAGGCTCATTGTGGAGAATTAGTATAGTATGCTATGGATTAAGTTCCTGAGTAAGTAGAGCACTATTGAATATTTATACTTTAAGTGTGGTTTAGCATATACAAAAAATTGTACCTACTTCAACCATCTGTTCATATGACGTAATGCCGTTGGTGACTTCAACTTGCCACAAGTGTGTCTCTTGATTTCCCAGGCCACTTAAATTACGCACATCTAAAATGACATTAAACAAACAAAGTCTATGAATCATACAAAGAATTTTTAGGCAATTCAAATAGTGTCTCTGTATCTTTAAGGCATAAGTTTTAAAATATTCACTTATGATATATATATATATATATATATATATATATATATATATATATATGTTAATGAGTTAATGCAACAACTGCAAGACTAGGCATTACAACCTAGTGCCAGGGAAATCCCCAGGAATCCACAAGGATGAGACCAGCTCAGACTCTTAGCAATATTGGAGAGGGTACCTGAACTTACCTTCCCCTATAATCAGATTAGTGACTACCCTAATTGTCATCATAGAGCCTACATTCAGTAACTGATGGAAGAAGATACAGTGATCCACAAGCAAGCACTGGGCTGAGATCCTAGTCTCCAGTTGAAGAGAGGGAGGAGGGATTGCAGGAGCAAGTGAGGTAAAGACCATGATGGGGAAAATCATGGAGACAGCTGACCCAAGCTGGTGGGAGCACATGGACTCTGGCCTATCAGCTGGGGAGCCTGCATGGAACCAAACTAGGCCCTCTGAATGTGGGTGACAGTTATGTGGTTAGATCTGCTTGGGGAGCCCCTGGCAGTAGGACCAGGACTTATCCAAGTGCATGAAATGGCTTTTTGGCACACATTATTCCCTAGGGTAGGATACCTTGCTCAGCCTTGACACAGGGGAGGGGCTTGGTCCTGCCTCAACTTAGTATGCCAGACTTTGTTGACTCCCCAAGGGAGGCCTTACCATCTCTGAGGAGTGGATAGGGGATGGGATGGAGAGGTTGGGGGGGGAGGCAGGAGAGAGAACTGGGATTGGTATGTATAATGAAAAAAAAAACTTTTTAAATTTAAAAAAGAAGAAGAATAGGAATTCCAGGGCTTAGTCAGTTTTCTTTGAGGCTTTGCTGTGCTTGGTCCAAACAAGTAAGGTAAAGTATCCGGCTACTTCTCAGCTGTAGATTTCCATACATCAGTTTGACCTGACATTTGTCCTTTCCATTTCTCTAGTCTATTATCTGGGCTTGTAGTGCTAGTCTACACTGAACCTCTCTTGTATGTGAACGAATGGTTATCTGTATCAGCTCTTTAAGGGTGTAAGCATAGTTGAATAAGCAAGAATAAAGGTTAAGGAAAGGATTTCTATGCACATGTAATTAATCTACTTTGTCCCGAGACACAACTAATTATTTACTTATGCAAATTTTCTATCTGAAAAAACAAGAAAGCAGCTTTCTTCAAATTCTTCATTTAGTCTATCTTAAGTTTTGTACATCTTTTTCATTTGCTGGATTTACATGGGCTTCTTAAAACAATAATACTTTTTTGCTTACATCAACTTCTTGTCAACTATTTTAAAATAGGTATTTTTTTCCTAGAGAGAAAACACTAGCAATATAGTAAAAATACGTTAAAAAAAGAAAGTAAACAAATCATCAGAGAAACATTTTAGCTGTGTTCTCTATTACTAGGCTACTTAGGATCAAGTTAAGTTTAACTTTTTTTTTTTAATTCTCAGCTCACTCTTGGTGCTATGTTCTGGCTGAGAGCTGGGATGGTCACTGTTTTGTGAGCAACCAGGCTGCATCCAGTTAAACCTCACTGTTTACACAAAAGGAGCCACTTCTGACATCAACAAGCTCTACTTTATGGACAAAACTATAAAACTAGATCTGCTAGACCTAAGTTCAGGGTTCTTGGTCTGATTGCGCGCTAGTCAGGCATACACAGCTGGGAGAAGGGTCTGGAGCCACACAATCTACTGATAATGGCCTCACTTTCCTACTCTTTGAAGTAAACTACAACAAAGGACTGGGGCTCACTTCTCACATACTTTGTGACTCCCAAATCTTGCCCGTCAAAGGTTCCCTGTGGCTTAAGTTACTCAGTGGTTTGGCATCTGAACCAGCAGTTTCCACAACTGCCTCACGCAGCCATCTGTCATGGTGTCAGTGTGGCCCCAGTCTCCCTGCTTTGTGACTGCTCCTCATTTTCAGGTCCAAGACTAGAAGGCACTCCAAGATAAATGCAATCGACTTCTTCTCCAAGCCTAAGCTGCGAGGCAGAGTCAGTGTGAGATACACCAGAGCGGTGTATTTGATACATTACAGAAAAGAGGTGTGTACTGTGTTCAAAAATGCTAGTCTGTTGGACACAGAGCTCTTCATACTTACCTACAGTTGGCCTTACTTTACAGTTCCGGCTTTGGGAGCTTGGGGTATGAACTGTTTCCTGCTTCCTTTCTGCTTTGCCTATCTGCTTTTCTCCTTTATAACTGTCCTGACACATTTTTCTTGATCCCCAGCACATTTCCCTCTCTCCACCTTGAATACAGTCTCTCCTTTGTTGTTGATATTCTCCCCATTCCCATAACACCACGAAGAAAACTTCTAATCTGCCATCGTATCCTGAAAACTCAGATGTTCCTGTCTCATTCTCTTAGAAGTGCCACAGGAAAATGCACTAGTAACTACATTAAAACTGTTTAATCCCCAGTACTATAACCCTGGTCAAAAAGCCCATGGCAGGGTAGGGCAAACTGCTACCTTGGGAAGAAGCTGCTGGTGTTATTGGGCTGAATGGCCACACTGTTAAACTGCCTTCTAAATATTTCTGTTTACACCCACAGAGCTGGGCTGTTCTCAGCTTTGGCCAGAGTTGGCTCTTCTTTTCTCAGTGGATAGCAGCCAGCAGAGAGGAGGAGGATATCTGATCGCGGGACTGAGAACAAGAGTCTGAGTGCTCAGGCCCAAACAGGACATCCTTATCAACCCCAGCACCACCAAGGCTCAAAGAAAATCTTATAACAGAAGCAGAAAGAACCTAAGAGCCAAAGGATGGGGAAGAGTGCTCGGATGCTGTCTTCTGAACACGGCATGGCCATCCCCCTCATGAACTCACAGCAGCTGTGTTTACTTGTATGGGACAAGCACAAGGCCAGAAAGCCAGGGAAAATCCAGGCTTACATGAGACAGATGATCTGCAGGCCCCACTCTTTACTGAGAAGCTGCTGACAGTGGATAGCTGTTGAGGACAAGGCATCATTCTGTTTGGAGGATATGGTTCTGGTAGCTTTCCCATGCTCCGGTGGACAGCCCCACACCCATGCTTGTTATACGCAGCACTAACTGGACTTAGTGGATTATAAAAACAAAAAAAGAAAAGGAAAAAAGAAAATAGGATATGAAGTTGGTGGGGCAAGGACTGCTGTGGGACAATAAGGAGACCTGAAGGAGAAAATGGAGTAGATCATATTTCATTGAATACATATAGGAAGTTCTTGAGAATACAGAGAAATTTAAAAACAAGCTATGTTCGGGCTGCTGACTTTCAAATTTATATTCTAATCATGATCACCATCAAATGTTTAATTTATATTAAATAATTTATCATCTACCAATTTTTGAAAACTGTCATCTCTCCAGCAAGAGAAGTAGGTAGAATAATTGGTAGGTAGATCTCAACCTCTCCCTCAAATCCCAAATCTAAATCCCCAGGCTCACCCCCAGCTCTGCAGCAGACTACCAGCTGCTGCCACCTTGCACCCTACTCCCATCTCCAGAGAATCATACTTCTCCTCCTAATCTTCCTCCCCCAGCTCCAGCAGGCACTCCCTGGGAACCCACAGGTCATGGACCAGGAAAGCAAGCAGGCTAAATGCAGATCTTCATTTCTCCCTCCATTTCTCCAAGTCCGATGCCCCAGGTTCATCCCCAGCTCTGTAGCAAACCTTCTGCTGTGGCCTCTTCTCAGTCTCTACCCCAATTCCCAGAGAACCAAGGAGACACTAGTGGGATACCCTGTTTTCCTCCCTCCTGTGGACCCCTCAGCCCCTCCCAAACCCATCTCCATTCCTAAGTGTTAGCTGTCAATGCCGAGAAATACATTTTACCAAAAACCCAGAGTGGCCACAACTATCAGAATCCCAGCAAATTTCCTATCAGGCAACACACTCTCCTATGACCCAGAAAAGGCAATAGAAACCAAGGAACAATATACCCACCCAACAAAGACAGGACTAGTTATCAGCATCTAGAATCTTCCCAATACCAGAAGCCTAGATGACAGGGCAAACATACAATCAATAACAAACAGGACTATATTTTTCCATTATAGCCCAGCAACCCTACTCAGGCAGGCCCTGAGTATTCCAAAATAGCTGAAGAACAAGAAGAAGACATTAAAATATAACAGAGGTCTTTAAAAAGTATCTTTACAAACCATTAAAAAAAATCTATAGAAAAAAAACCAAAAAAGTGGAAGGAGATAAATAAAACAATTCAAAACTTGAAAGTGGAAATAGAATCAATAAAGAAAATCAAAACTGAGAGAAATCTGGAAATTAAAATTTTGGTTCTTGAACAGGAACCTTAGAGTCAAGCCTCACCAACAGAATACAATAGATGGAAGAGAGAATCTCAGGCATTGAAAACACAACAGAAGAATGGATACCATGGTCAAAGAAAATGTTAAATCTAAACAAGCTTTTGGCACAAAAATCCGGGAAATTTGGGACACTATAAAAAGACCAAACCTAAGAATAATAGGAATAGAGGAAGGAGAAGAAACACAAGTCAAAGGCCCAGAAAATATTTTCAACAAAATCATACAAGATATTTCCCTAACTAAAGGAAAGAGATGCTGATCAAAATACAAGAAGCATACAGAACATCAAAGAAACTAGACCAGAAAAGACATCCCCATGGCACATAATAATCAAAACAATAAATGTACAGAACAAAGAAAGAATATTAAAAGCTGCAAGGGGAAAAAAAAGAGTAACATATAAAGGAAGAACTATTAGAAATACACCTGACTTCTCCATGGATATTCTAAAAGCCATAAGGGCTTAGACAGATGTGCTGAAAACTCTAACAGACCACAGATGCCAACCCAGACTACTATACCCAGCAAACTTTTCAATCACCATACATGGAGAAAATTAGACATTCCATGATAAAACCAAATTTAAGCAGTATCTACAAACCCAGTAATATAAAAGGTTCTAGTAGGAAAATTCCAACCTGAAGAAATAAACTACACACAAGAAAACACAGGGAATAGTCTCAGACCAGTGGAGTCAAAAGAAGGGACATGGACATACACACACACACCACCACCACCACCACCATTACCACCACCACCAACAACAACTATAACAATGTAACAGAAATCTACAATCACTGCTCATTGATAACATCAGAGGCCTCAATTCTCCAACAAAAATATGAAAACTAACATATTATATTTGAAAACAGGATCAATCTGTCTGCTGCATCTAAGAAACACACCTTAACATCAAGGATAGACATCACCTCAGGGTAAAAGCATTAGAAAAAGATATTCCAAGCAAATGGATCTAAGAAGCAATTTGGTATAGCCATTTTAATGTCTGACAAAATAAACTTCACACCAAAACTAAGAAGAAATAGGAAAGGATATTACACACGCATCAAAGGAAAAATCCACTAGAAAGACAATGTTGGAATTCTTAACAACTACATACCAAATACAAGGGCACCAAAGTTCATAAAAGAAATACTACTATAGCTTGAATTACATACTGAAAGACACATTGATATTGGAGGCAGATCATCCAAACAAAAACTAAATGGAGCAATGCTGGAGCTAACTGACATGATAAACCAAATGTACCTAACAGATATTTACAGAACATTTCAGTCAAACACAAAAGAATACACCTTATTCTTAGGCCTCATGGAACTTTCGACAAAATTGACCAAATACTTGGACACAAAGCAAGTCCCAACAGATAACAGAAAATTGAAATAGCCTCCTGCATCCTATCTGACCACTATGGATTCTAGCTGGATATCAACAACAGCTACAGAAACAACAGAAAGTTTTCAAACTCATGAAAACTGAACAACTCATTACTAATAAAAAATGGGTCAAGATAGAAATCAACGATTTTCTAGAACTGAATGAAAATGAAAACACAATTTACCAAAACTTATGGAACACAATGAAGGTGATTCTAAAAGGCAAGTTCATAGCACTAAGTGCCTACATAAAAAAAAAAATTGAAAAGATCTTATACTAGTAATTTATCAGCACACCTGAAAGCTCTAGAACAAAGAGAGAGGACAAAAAAAAAGTCACCCAAAGGAGTAGATGGCAAGAAATAATAAAACTAAAGGCTGAAATCAATAAAATAGAAACAAAAAGAAAGAAAACAATACAAAGAATGAATGAAACAGTTACTTCTTTGGTAAAAATCATAGAGACATAACAACAGACACTGAGGAAATCCAGAGAATCATAAGGACATACCTTAAAAAATATTACTCTACCACATTTTTTAAAAATCAAAAAGAAATCCATAATTTTTTGATATATACCACTTCCCAAAGTTAAATGAAGATCAGATAAGCAATTTAAACAGACCTATAACCCCCAGTGAAATCAAACCCGTTAAGTTTGCCAACCAAAAAGAAGCCCAGGGCCAGAGAGTTTTAGCACAGAATTCTACCAGCATTTCAAAGACTTAATGTCAATAGTCCTCAAATTGTTCCACAAAATGCAAACAAAAGGAACATTGTCCCTCTCCTGCACTTTTATAAGAAAAAACAAAGCCACAGATACCCTGCAACCCAAACCACATAAAGTCCCCCAAAAGAAAGATAATTACAAAGCAATTTCCCTTAGGAACATAGATGGGAAATTCCCAATAAAATATTTGCAACTGAATCTAAAAACACATCAAAAAGTTTATCCACACTCATCAAGGAGGCTTCATCCCAGAGATACAGGGATGGTTCAACAATCAATAAATGGAATCCACCATATAAATAAACTGAAAGAAAAACAAAGCATATGATTATCTCATTAGAGGCAGAAAAGGCCTTTGACAAATCCAAAATCCATTCATGATTAAGATCTGGAGATATCAGGGATACAAAGGACATACCTTAATACAATAAAGGCAGTTTACAGCAACTTTTATCCAACATTAACTTGAATAAAAAGAAACTCAAAGCAATTCTACTAACATCAGGAACAAGATAAGGTTGCCCACACTCTACATACCTATTCAATATAGTACTTGAAGTCTTAGCTAGAGCAATAAGACAACTGAAGGAGATTAGGGAAAAAGAAATGTGAATGGAAAAGTCAAAGTATCTTTACTTGCAGATGATATGATAGTACACACAAGTGACCTTAAATATTGCCCCAGAAGAGTCCAATAGCAGACGAACTCTTTCTGCAAAGTAGTTGGATACAAAATTAACTCACAAAACTCAGTAGCCCCCTATATATAAATGACAAACAAACTGAGAAAGAAATCAGGGAAACAACACCTTTCACCACAGCCTCAAATAATATAAACCACCTTGCAATAACTCGAATCAAACAAGTGAAAACTTATATAACAAAAACCTCAAGACACTGAACAAAGAAACTGAAGAAGATAATTAGAAGACAGGAAGATTTCCCATGCTCACGGATAGGTAGGATTAGTGTAGTAAAAATGGCCATCCTACTAAAAGAAATCTACAGATTCAATGCAGCCCCCCTCAAAAGTCCAAAATTCTTCACAGATCTTAAAAGGACAATTTTCAGCTTCATATGGAAACACAAAAAACCCACAATTGCTAAAACAATCCTGAATAATAAAAGAACTGCACGAGGTATCCCCATTACCAATTTCAAGTTGCACTATAGAGATATAGTTATAAAAACTGCATTTTATTGGTACATAAACAGAAATGTTGATCAATGGAATCAAATTGAAAACCTAGAAAGAAATCTACATACCTATTGACACTTGATTTTTGATAAAAAGGCCAGAAATACACACTGGAAGAGAGAAAATGTTAAATTTCATACCAGAAACAGACTGCTGAGGTATCATTTGAAGACCTAGAGAGAAATCCATACACCTATGGATACCTGATTTTTGATACATAGGCCAGAAATACATACTGGAAGAAAGTGTTAAGTTTCAAGCCAGAAACAGACTGCAGAGGTCTCAATTTTCAACATATTCAACCTGTCAAATATGTCAAAGCATGGCCTCCAGGTTCTCCTTGCATCTCTCAGTCCTACCTGTTCCTGGGTATGGCTGGCATATTCTACCGTCTACCCTGAACTCTCCAGCCCACAGGCTGGGCTGCCCTTGCCCCAGAGACTCTTCTCTATATAAAGCAGACATTTTGGTTGCCCCCCCTTTGTGCCTCTGGCCTCCTGGCTGCTGCACCCTGTTCCCCCTTCTCTCTCTCCTTTCTTTCCCCTCCCCTTCACTCCATGTGGCCCAGCTCAGCCTGGTCATGTTCACTCTGGCCTCTCCCAGATATCCCTGCCTCTGGCTACACTCTCCTTTTTATCTCAAATAAACTCTTTTCCACCGTACCTAGGAGCAGTCATGTCCTTTCCTCTCTTTTTTATTTCTTTTTGTTCAAAAGCATCTTCAGCGAATGGTGTTGGTCAAACTGGATGAACGCATGTAGAAGAATGCAAACACATCCATATTATCACACTGTGGGTCAAAGACTTCAACATAAAACCAGACACATGCAACCCGATAGAAGAGAAAGTGGTAAACAGCCTTGAACTTGTCGGCATGGGAAAAGACTTTCTGAACATAACACCTTTAGCCCAGGCACTAAGATCAACAATTAATGGGACCTTGTGAAACTGCAAAGCTTCATTGTCATTTGGACAAAGTGGCAGCCTACAGAATGGGAAAAGATTTTCAGCAACTACATATCTTATAGAGAGCTAATAGTCAAAATATATAAAGAACTCAAAAAACAAGATATCAAGAAAACAAATAATCGAATTAAAAGTGGGGGTACAGATCTAAACAAAGAACTCTCGATAGAGGAGACTAAAATGGCTGGGAAACAAATAACCGTTCATTATCCTTAGTCCTTAGGGAAATGCAAATCAAAATGACTTTGAGATTTCATCTCATACCTGTCAGAATGGCTAAGATCAATAATACAAGTGACAGCTCATGCTGGCAAGGATGTAGAGCAAGGGGAATTCTCCTCCATTGCTGGTGCGAGTGCAAACTTGTACAGCCACGATGGAAATCAGTGTGGTGGCTGACAGGAAGATGGGAATTGGTCTACCATAAGAATCAGCTATACCACTCTTGGACATATACTCAAAAGACCCTTCATCCTACCACACAGATACCTGTTCAACCATGTTCATTGCTGTTCTATTCATAATAACTAAAATTGCAAACAATCAAGATGTCCCCCAACAGAAGAATGAATGAAGAAAATGTACATTTACACAATGGAGTATTAATCAGCTGTTAAAAAAAGAAACCATGAAATTTGCAGGCAAATGGATGGAACTAGAAAAAAAAATTATCCTGAGTGAGGTAACCCAGACCCAGAAAGATACATGGTTTATGTTTGCTTCTATGTGGATATTAGCTGTTATGTCAATGACCATCAAGCTGCAATCTGTGGAACCAGATGTTAGGAACAGAGAAAGGGACGAGGGAACACAGATTTCATTAGGAAAGAGAAACAGAATTGATAGTTATGAATGGATGGAAGGGGCTGGAATGAAATATCAAGTGGTATTGGGGAGGTGTGAAGGGGACAAGGGATGGAATACAGGAAGAATCATGTAAAATTAATGGCCATACAGTAGAAGCTTCTAAAATATACGCATATATGGAGGTGATCTAACTGAAATTGCCAAATAATCAGAGAAATGGTGTGACAAAATGAAGCTTCAAGTACCAGGATTGGGTCATATCTAATTGGGTTGCTGGCCTGTGGGAGCCCACAACTGACTCAGTTTCCCAGTTTGAATCTGAAGTCTATTCTGAGTCAACAGAGTTCAAGCTTGTTTGCTCCAAGGCTGTGAGAAAGTTCTGATTAGCCCACAGAGCCTCCTTGAAGGGCTGTAAGAAAGTCCTGATTAGCCCACAAGAAGGAACACACAATCTAACTAGATGCAGCCTGCTGATGCCAGCCAGAGGTACACTGAGATAGAAAATGAAGCTGCCTGCTCCTTGATGCAAGGCAGGATAGATAGCGGTTGAATGCCTGTGCTGTGCATTGTTCTACCTCTGTCCTTCAAAACTGTATATAAGCTGGCTATGAAATAAACTCAGGGCTGTCTCGCAATGACCTAACCCTAACCCCAACCCCAACCCCCAACCCCAACCCTAACCCTAACCCTGACCCTAACCCTGACTCTTTTCTGTCTTCTTCATTGTCTCTTCAATCCGCACGCCTCTACCCAATGACCCAGCTGACTGTTGGCAGGCCCGACACTGGCCAAAGGGGTCCCATGGAAATCCCCAAACAACTATAGGATGCTCTCCCTAAACTGAGAGCAAGGCCCCATTGCTGAAGACAACACCTACATAACTAATAGAACACCTTTACCCCTATGTTTTAGCATATTTGGTACAGAAAGATATTCCATACACCATACTACCAAAAGAGAAAAGTAAACTCCAAGCCAGTCACAAATTCTTTGATTTAAAATAGTATCTTTGCCTGGAAGATATGCTAGGGCAATGGTGGCACAAAGCTCTTGGAAGTAACCAACCAACACAGGATCTGACTTAAGTCTGACTCCACAAGATGGAACCCATACCAGACACTGCTTGGGTGACCAAGAACCAAGGACTAGATAGTCCTGAGACCTACAGGAAGACCAAATATTACTCTTCTTTTTAAAAACAGAAAGAAAAAAAAAGAAAAAAAAGGCAATAAAATGATTCCTACTGACTACTGACATTCTGCTATACTCAACCATCTCCAGAGAAGCTTCTTCCTGCAGCAGATGGGAGCAAATAAAGAGACCCACTGCAAGAATTACACATTATGCAGAGAATGAGAAATCTTGAACAGCTCTAAATGGGATTACTCCATATGCAGAGAATGAGAGACCTTGAACAGCTCTAAATGGGATGTCTCCATCAAATCCCTCTCCTCAAAATTCAGGGAAACCCAAGGAAAGGTAGGTGGAAAGAGTGTTAAGAGCCAGAGGGGAGAGAGGACACCAAAAGAACCAGGCCCTCTAAACCACCATGATCAAAGCTCATATGTACTCAGAGACTAAGGTGGTATGCACAGGACCTGCATGAATCAGAACCAGGTCTGTATATATATTATGGATTCCACTTCAATGTTTTTATGGGATTGAGTGTGTGAACAAATGATTCTCTGATTCTTATGCCTTTTCTTGGGGACTTTTCCTTCTGCTTCTTTGTCTTATCCAACTCCAATGTGTTAGTTTTTGCTTTATCTTACATTATTTTAATTTTCCCTTAGAAGTCTGTTTTCTAACGAGAGACAAAAAGGGAGTAGATATGGATGGGAAGGGAGGTGGCCAGAAACTGGGAGGAGTAGAGGAAGGGGAAACTGTAATCAGGATACATTATGTGACAAAAAAAAAAAAATCTATTTTCAATAAAAGAAAAAAAAAAGAAAACTGTCATCTCAAAGTTCAAATGAAAGCAACGAATAATTCCTTAAAATTTAGGTCACTTTAGTATCTTCTCAAGATTAGAAAGAAAACAAACGAACAAAAACATGTTTTGTTCCTTTCTACCAGGTTAAACGTTCTTTGTAGTTCTTATCTGACCACAGTACATATACCTGTCCTTCAGTTTTTTCTCACTGAATGTAAGTCCTTTAAAGAAAATATTATCTATCAGGGAGAACTGTCTACAAAGTAATCAAAGAGAAAATAGTAAAACAGTGTCTCAACAAAACCTAAACAACCAACAAACAAAAACCACTATGATTTAAAAAATGAAAGAGAAACAAATAAGCAGTTAGGTAAAGTAGCTAACCAACAAAAATGTCTTAAAAGACCTATATATGTACTAGAAAAAAATCTAAGAAAACACACCTCAACATAGAAAAAAGGGGGGGGGGCGGTGATGGATAAAACCCTATCTATGAAAATAAAGAAACTCTGGCTTCTTTTCTATTTGTATCCCCTTGATTTATTTCAGTTGTCATATTGTTCTAGCTAAGACTTCTACACTGAACAGTTATAGAGAGACAGGACAGCCTTTCTTGTTCCTGATTTAGGGGAAACATTTTGAGTTTCTCTCCATTTAGACTGATGCTGGCTATAGGCTTGCTGTAAATTTTCTTTATTATCCCTAGTCTCTCCAGGACTTTCATCATGAAGGGATGTTTTGCATTTTGTCAAAGGCCCTTTTTACATCTGATGAGATGATCATGGGTCCTTTAGTCTGTTTATGTGGATTACATTTATTGATTTACAAATGTTGACCCAGCCCTGCATCTCTGGGGTCAAACAGACTTGACTGTGCTGGATAATCATTTTGATATGTTCTTGAGTTTGGCTTGCAAAGTATTTTACTGAGAATATTTGCATCTATCTTCACAAGGGACATATTAGTTTATGATTTTCTTTTTTTTTTTTTTTTTTTGGTTTTTCAAGACAGGGTTTCTCTGTGTAGCTTTGGAGCCTGTCCTGGAATTCACTGTGTAAACCAGGCTGGCCTCTGCCTTCCGAGTGCTGGAATTGAAGGCGTGCACCACCACCGCCTGGCTTAATTTTTCTTTTTTGTTGGGTCCTTTGGTATCAATTTAATAGTGGCTTTGTGAGAGAAATTTGGAAATGTTCAGTGAGTTTCTATTTTGCTGAATAACTTGGAGTGTTGATGTCAGTTCTTCTTTGAATCAATCCTTTGGGCAGCCATGAGGAACTTTTTTGGACATTGCATAAAGTGTCTGTGAGATTCATGAGCTCCTTAGGCTAGGTTTGGTGAAAGTGGATGCAAAGAGATCAATCAACACAACCAGTATCTGCTGAGCTCTCCTCCTGCCGCCCTCCCTAGGACAGCATCTTCCAACTGACCTGGGAGGCTCCAGAGTGAGGCTTGGGAGGCACTCCATGGCTCAAATCCATGCTGCAACTTGATGTTCAACCCTGGTCTGGTCACACAGTACCCTGTAAATGGGAAATGAGGTAGTTTATCCAGATGTGCCAAGTCAGGACCAACGATGAGAGACAGCAGGTCCACGTCAGGAACTCTGCTTAAGATGTGTGGTTCTGAAACTCACATTCTTTACTGAGTGGAATATTACCCTCAAATCACATTAAGCTGCATGATAGCCTAAAATAATGACTATTCTTAAACATAAGTAAACAGAACAGAAAAATAAAAGATAACACAATGAAATTGAAAAAACCACACATATTTATGACAATTGAATAA